GCATCCTTACCTAATTTGAAATATAAGTCCCCCTTCTTTGATGTTCCATCATCATAGGGTGCCTTTGTTTGCTAACCAAAGCCTTCTTTGCTCTTTTCATGTACTGGCATGTTCATGTGCTAGTCATCCACTCCACTGTAAATGCAATACCTATCCTAGGTTGTCTTTGATGATTATTGGTTTCACTGTTTTTTAATCTTGACAATGCCCCTAAATGTGGTGTTGCTTAATTCATCATAAAGGAGCTTAACAAATCATTCATCTACTGGATTCTCTTCAGAATCGTTCTTTGATTAGCTGTGTGAATCCTACCAGCACTCATCAAGAGGTTTTCTAGTGTTGCCCACATCTTAGATTACTAACCAGCCATTGACTTGCCTTCAGTGCTCGTTCATCTGATTATCTTTCTTTGAACACCATTGTCGTCAATTTCACTAATTCATCATTTAATTATTTTTGTTTTATGTTTTGTGTTTTTTTGCCCCTAGCTGATTTCAATACTACTTGTTTTCCTTCTCAGGTCCACTATATTGCCCCTAGCTGCTCAACTTTTTAAGAAGTGCCGAGAAGTATTGACATTTCTGTCAAGATTTTGCAAACTTGATCGGTGCTCTTTTTGTTTGACAATCTTTCTTGTTCGAGAATCAACTCTCATATTTTAAAGATCATCTCTATTTAAAGTCAAATTATAAAAATGAAATCAGAGAGATGTCATTTTAAAAAAAAAAAGTATTTTTAAAATTCACTTCTTTGGTCAAAAGCCAACACACGTCATTCAATACATGTAGTTCTTTGATTATCTTGTATTTTGAAAGCAGAAATTAACCCGTTGAAATATTAAAATGGCTTTTTTCCATGGTTCTTTATGTTAATTTTAATCTCTGATCTTGGGTATATCTTTTGATAGTTTGTGATGGGTGACCTTTTTGTAAATTTCAAAAACAAGATGCTAAAGTCAGAACTCAAGCTTTATCAAGAAAGGTTGTTTCCTTTTTTTTTTTAGCACTTATTTTATCAGCATGCATAATAAGAAGTAACTTAATCCATGAAGCCACGACTCTTATGGAAAAACTCTTTAAGCTTTGAGAGTGCCATTTATTGGTTCAAATTGCTTACTTGATTAAAAAGGGCTTTTAAAAGCACGTAATGTAAGCTATGGTTTATGGCTATGAAAGAAAAGAATTTTACAGGCTCAAAAGGTGTTTGAGGGCTTCAAAAACCTAGGATCAATATCAATTATTCATCATTTCTCTTTCTCTTGTTATCTTTGTGGAGAAAACGACATATAATCTTATCAACCTCAAATATCAGAATATGTCATAATGCAAATCCAACTTTTTCTTTGATGAATAACAAATCTCAATCATCTGATAACATCAGTAGTTTTATCATGGATGCCAAAAGTCATGTTTGTAGCCCAGGTTTTTTTTTTTGGTATCGACTTTCAACATTTGTTGTAAAACTTCTTTTGTCTTTCCTAAACTTAATAGGCATTCTCCTTTCTTTATCTTTGACTTGCCTTTAAGTGTAGGCAATTTTCTTTTTTTTTTCCTTTTTTTTAACAATGGCTTTCACATAGCCTTTCTCATAATTTTTTTTTCTGACATGCCCCCAGTCTAGGTCTTCTTTCTCTTAGCTCTCTGTCAAATGTTGAACTTTTATTCTAAGCCTTCCCTTTCACTTTTGTCTTCTCTTATTTGCCCCCAATACGGGATGTGATCCTCGTCAGGGTTTCTTTTGAAAAGAATATTCTATCAGGCTCAAAATAGGATTGCAAATTATATATTTCCAGTATTGTGAAAGGATAAAACAAAGATGGCATTTTCTCATTTCAAGCAAGGACAGTGTGAATTGATAAATTTTGACCTCGTCTAGTGTAATGATTTGTGCTTGCAAGAATTGCAAGCCTTGATTCACGAGTCCATAACTACTGAATCCATTACATATCATTATGCATATTGCTAAAACTTAGCTATATGGTGGGTGATTCAGTTTCATGTGTGAGTTCACAATTTGTTTGGTCACCCCATATCATTTTAACAAGCATCAAGTCATTTTTGAAATCAAAATACTTTTAATCTTTCTAGGTTGATTAGCCTTAATTGCATTTTGGAGTTTGATTAAAATATTTTGTCAAAAATGAAATGCTAAACATCTCTTGACTTTAGAAAAACAAAGAAACAAATAAAAGATATGTTTCGTTAAAGAATAAGATGTGATCCCAAAAGAAAATGCAAAATGACAAAATTTATAACAATAGAATTGACAATTCATCGTCATTCTTGGACCAACTTTCTTAGCAAGCATTTTCAATCACTTGTCATTCTGAAGATGTTCGGGGGACAATATAGCCAATGACATCACCTTTCACAAACTCAACTTGCCTCTTGCTCATTGATTGTGTATCAAAAGTGTCATTAAGTCTCTTATTTTACATATGTATTTATTGTTTTTATAATAATTGATGTGTTTTTTAGTAATGAAGTTTGTTTTAATGTTTCGATAGGTTTTTGGAGCTTAAATGAATTAATTCACAAAATTCAACATCGGAATTCAGAACAAAGAATTGAAGAGACATTTAGTTGAAGATTGAAGCAAATCTTGGTTCAAATAAGTGCTCCAAATTTGTCCCAAAAATCAATTCTATTCCAATTCTAGAAAAGAATATCATATGATTTATTTCAAGCCCAAACTTGCCTTATGTTGTGTGCAAACTTCAACCATTAAACACTCAAGGTTTCAATGTCAATCTTAGCCCAAATAATAAGTACATTTGTATACTTATTTGATGCTCAAATTCAGCCCAAAATCAGCCCCAAATTAGCTCTAAATCAACCCCAAATCAACCTTCAAATCAACCCAAACACAATCCATGATCTTACATGTCCACACAACAAATAACAATTGATTTATTTTGGGCAATCCATTAATCCAAGAAGGCAAGCACATGGATGGAAAGCTGGAGGGGATATTTTAACATTATTTTGGGTCAAAAAGAAGAAGGAGACACCTCATAAATGAGGAAGAAAAACGTGCACCAAAGTAGTTGTAAAGCTGTCTTGATTTGATTTTTCAGAACACCTTTCGGTGTTTTGCCCATAACGTTTGACTCAGGTGTCCAAATGAGCTGTTCTTTAATGATCTGGAAAGGTGACAGAATTGCCTATAAATATGTATCTAATAGACTTCTCCAAAAAAAGCTTCTAAGAGGGTCGAATTGCTGTCCAAAGTTAGAGTCAGATTTGTGTCCGAATTTTTTCTGAAATTGTATTGTGTTCTTCTTTATAGATTTCGGTTCTTTAGTTTGTAAAACTTATTTTTTCAGTTGGATTCAAGTTCTTTCATGTTTATTGAAGTGTTCTTATATATAATCATGGTTGGCTAAACTCTTTCTTGGATCCAAATCAAGGATAATGGTGATTGAGGTGAGTTCTTTAGGATATGAATGAATCTTAATGTTTATCTTCTTATTTTCTTCATGAATGATTTATTATTGTAAAGAAATTTTAGAAATCATTTAGGTAATGTTATAACCTTGAATTTTTATGCACAAACTTTAGTTTTGGTATAGAGATTGCTTGATTCAATGTCTTACTTAATATGAAAGTACTTGTTCATTCTTAAGCAATAATCAATCTTCATCTTTCTAATCTTCATTGTAATATCTTCTGATCTAATATCACCATCGTTGAGATTAGGTTGAGTTATCTTATATATGTTGAAGAAATCACCAATACATCACCATTAAAATTGATTTGGACCAAGACTTACTTTTTCTTGTCATTTAAAATCTATTTACATTTTTTTTTATCTTTAAAAGCAAATCCATCAATTATTTTCAACCAAGTTATTGTTAATTTAATTTCTCTTGAGTTTTTTTTGTTACTTAGCTTAATTTCCAGATCTAGCTCTCTGTGGATATGACCTCGATCTTACCGAGTTAATTGCTACATCGCACACTCGTGCACTTGCGAGTTAAAACAAGCCGATCATAAAAAGCGGTCAAGCAATTTTGGCGCCGTTGCCGGGGAGCTAGCAAGCAAAGGTAACAAATTTAGATTTGATTATTGGAAAACTAAAAAAAAATCGTATAAAAAAAATTTAATTGGCTGGTTTTACCGCCTCAAAAAAAAAATTAAAAAACAAATCAAGTGGCTGGTTTTACCGCCTAAAAAAAATTTGACCTTAACGTTTTGGATATTGGACTATTAATTGTTGGATTTTGGTTGGTTCAACCATTTTTCTTTTATTTTCTATTCTTATTAGTTGCTAATATTTTTCTTGTTTATTTCATTTTATTTGGTTGATATTGTTTTTATTTATTGTCTAAAGTGCTTGGCCGGTATTACCGCCTTTTTTATTCATGCTTGTTATAATTATCTTTTAATGTTTATTGTTGTTATTTTTCTTATATTTATTGTCTAAAGTGCTTGGCCGGTATTACCGCCTTTTTATTCAAGCTTCTTATAATTATCTTTTAATGTTTATTATTGTTATTTTTCTTATATTTATTGTCTAAAGTGCTTGGCCGGTATTACCGCCTTTTTATTCAAGCTTCTTATAATTATCTTTTAATGTTTATTATTGTTATTTTTCTTATATTTATTGTCTAAAGTGCTTGGTCGGTATTACCGCCTCTTGTTTATTTCAGTTTATTTTGTTGTTTTGTTATGATTATTTTTCTTATATTTATTGTTTGAAGTGCTTGGCCGGTATTACCGCCTTTTTATTCAAGCTTCTTATAATTATCTTTTAATGTTTATTGTTGTTAATAGTGCTTATTAGTTGGAGAGTGAATTTCTTAATTTGTTGTATTTTATTTTTGAGCTATTACTTTTATTTGCATTTTTTTTCTTTCCTTTCCTTTCATATTCATATAATTGTTATATTATTATTATTATTATTATTTTATCATGGCTAATGTTGAAGATGTAGAGGGTGAAGGGAGTGTTCAAGGTAATGGACCTCCACAATTCAATGATCAACCTAATTTTCGAACTCTTAGAGAGTATCTTCACCCGGCTAGACAAAGTACACCTTCGTGTATTATCTTACCTCTTAACCAACAAGCTTTCAATTTGAAACCGGGCATGATTCAACTTCTTCCCACATTTCATGGTATGGATTCTGAAAATCCATACATACACATTAAAGACTTTGAAGAGGTATGTAATACTTTTATTGATAGAACATGCACCGAGGAAACCATTCGGCTTAAATTGTTCCCATTCTCTCTAAAGGATAAAGCCAAGCTTTGGCTAAACTCCTTGCGTCCTAGGTCTATAGGTACATGGAGAGAAATGCAAGCTGAATTTTTGAAAAAATACTTCCCCACTCATAGGACAGCAGCCTTACAACGTCAAATGATGAATTTTTCTTGTAGTCCAAATGAGTCATTTCACCAAGCTTGGGAAAGGTTTAAAGACTTGTTAAATGCATGCCCTCACCATGGTTTTGAGATGTGGAGGTTAGTGAGTTTCTTTTATGACTCTCTTACCGCAGATTTTAAAAAGCTAGTGTCAACCATGTGTAATGGTGAGTTTTATGACAAAGAACCAAGTGAGGCCTTTGATTTTTTTGATCAATTGGCTGAAAACACAAAGCAATGGGAGACTTCTCTCCCAGTTCATGTTGAGTCTAGAAACACCATTTCTCATTCAAGTGGGAAGTTTCAATTGAAAGAGACTGATGACCTCAATGCTAGATTAGCCTCATTGGCTAGGAAAGTAGAGTCTCTTGAGATTAAAAAAGTGCATGTTATAAGTGAACAACAAGAGGAAAGTTGTGTTGTTTGTGAGAGCAAAGGGCATAGGACAACTGAGTGTCCTACCATTCCAGCCTTCAAGGAAGTGTTATATGGCCAAACTTCTGATTCAAGTAATGTTAGAAAGCCATTTCCAAACCAAGTAGGCAATCCCTACTCTGAGACCTACAATCCTGGATGGAGGAACCACCCAAATTTTGGATGGAGAAATGAGGGCTCTTCAATACCTCAAACATTTCAACCTCCACCCCAACCATTTCATGCTCCCACACATAACACATACCAACCACCTCATAAGAGATCCTTAGAGGATACTCTTCAACAATTCATGCAAACACAAGGAGGAATCAACAACCAAGTTTACAAATTCCAAGACCAGACCAATAGGACCTTAGATGACATTCGAAGTCAACTAACTAAGTTGACTCAATCACTAAGCATTCAAGAGAAGGGAAAAATCCCAGCTCAACCAATGCCCAATCCTAGAGGTCAGGTACACATGAGTGAATCCTCACCTAGTGAACCTTCAAACCATGAACAAGTCCAAGCCATCACTACCCTTAGAAGTGGAAAGATTGTTGACAAAGGTGTAGGTTTTAGGATTCCTAAAGGTATTGTAGAGGAGAAATCTAGGGAAAGTGAAGAGGGAATCAAAACACAAGTGACAAATGAGAATTTGAGTGACAAAGAAGGTGAGATAAATGAGAAAGAGATGAGTGAGAAAGGAGATGATTCAAGAAAAATTGGAGTCAAAATGAGTGATTTAGAATTTGTTCCTAGAGCACCATTTCCACAAAGGTTAGGAAAACCTAAACAAGATCTTATGAACTCGGAAATCTATGAATTGTTCAAACAAGTGAAAGTTAATATTCCACTCCTTGATGCAATTAAACAAGTTCCATCTTATGCAAAGTTTCTTAAGGATTTATGCACAGTCAAAAGGAGATTGAATGTGAAAGAAAGAGCCTTTCTAACTGAACATGCTAGTGCCATCATCCAGTTTAAGACCCCTCCCAAATACAAAGATCCTGGTTGTCCTACCATTTCATGCATTATTGGAAGTCATAAGATAGATCAAGCTTTGTTGGATTTAGGAGCAAGTGTGAATTTAATACCCTACACTGTTTACGAACAATTAGGTTTAGGAGAAATCAAGCCTACTCGAATCACCCTTCAATTAGCTGATAGGTCAATCAAGATTCCTAGGGGTATCGTTGAGGATGTGTTGGTCCAAGTAGATAAATTCTACTTTCCTGTTGATTTTGTAGTGTTAGACACCGCACCAATTCAAGGTTCTAATGCCCCCATCCCAGTCATCTTAGGGAGACCTTTCCTAGCTACATCCAATGCCTTAATTAACTGTAGGAATGGGGTGATGAAGTTGTCTTTTGGGAATATGACTGTGGAGATGAACATATTCAATGTCTCCAAACAAATCGGGGAACATGAGGACATTAGAGAGGTAGATTTCATCCAAACAGTTTGTCAAGAACACTTTGAGAGAGTGTGGATCAAGGATCCATTGGAGAGAACTTTAATTCATGATGAAAGATTTTGTTCTTTGGAATGTGTTGATGAGGAGGTAAGAGAACTCGAGACTTATCTAGATCCAATGCCTATTATGTCAATAGGTCAATGGACCCCATCATTTGAGCCTTTGATTTCACCCCAAGCGAAAGTTGAGGAACCTCTTGTCCAACCTGATAAACTAGAAAGGAAGCCTTTACCGAGTGATCTTAAGTATGCATTTCTAGGGGAAGATGAATCATATCCTATTGTGATCTCATCAAAACTTAGCATAGAGCAAGAACACAAACTTTTGAGAGTGGTGAGAAAACACAAGAAAGCAATTGGGTGGAAAATTACTGACTTGAAAGGAATTAGCCCTCTTTTATGTACACATAGAATCTATCTTGAAGAAGAGGCTAAATCTGTGAGACAAATGCAAAGACGATTGAACCCAAACATGAAGGAAGTAGTGAGAGGTGAAGTGCTTAAGCTACTTGATGCAGGTATCATTTACCCTATTGCAAACTCAAAATGGGTTAGTCCAACCCAAGTTGTCCCTAAAAAATCTGGAGTCACGGTAGTGAAGAATGAAAATAATGAGCTGGTACCAACTAGAATCCAAACTGGATGGCGTATGTGCATTGATTATCGTAAATTGAACATGGTGACTAGGAAGGACCATTTTCCGCTTCCATTTTTAGACCAAGTGCTTGAAAGAGTAGCTGGAAGAGCTTTCTATTGTTTTCTAGATGGATACTCAGGTTACAACCAAATTGAGATTTCTTTAGAAGACCAAGAAAAAACCACTTTCACTTGTCCTTTTGGTACCTATGCTTATAGAAGAATGCCTTTTGGTTTGTGTAATGCACCAGCCACTTTTCAAAGGTGTATGATGAGTATCTTTAGTGACATGGTGGAAAATTTTTTGGAAGTTTTCATGGATGATTTTTCAGTTTATGGGGATTCTTATGAGTTGTGTCTAATGAATCTAGAAAAAGTTCTTGAAAGGTGTGAAGAGAGTAATCTTGTACTCAATTGGGAGAAGTGTCATTTTATGGTGACACATGGCATTGTTTTAGGTCACATTGTCTCTTCAAAAGGGATAGAGGTAGATAAGTCAAAAGTGGAAGTCATTCAAAAATTAACTACCCCTAAGACTGTGAAAGATGTGAGATCTTTTTTAGGACATGCTGGTTTTTATCGAAGATTCATTCATTCTTTTAGTACCATTGCTAAACCATTGTGTAACTTGTTGTCACAAGATGTCCCATTTGATTGGACATCAAAATGTCAAGAAGCTTTTGAAAAGCTTAAAGGGTTGTTGACAACTGCACCAATCATGCAAGCTCCTGATTGGTCTTTACCATTTGAACTGATGTGTGATGCTAGTGATTTTGCGGTTGGGGCTGTTTTAGGGCAAAGAAAAGACAAGAAACCTCATGTCATATATTATGCTAGCAAGACTTTGAATGATGCTCAATTGAATTACACTACAACTGAAAAAGAACTCTTAGCTGTGGTCTTTGCATTAGACAAGTTTAGGTCTTATTTGGTTGGATCTCTTGTTATTGTTTTCACTGATCATGCAGCATTGAAATATTTGCTCACAAAACAAGATGCCAAACCACGTTTGATTCGATGGATCCTCCTACTCCAAGAGTTTAACATTGAAATTCGAGATAAAAAGGGAGTAGAGAATGTAGTAGCTGATCATTTGTCTCGTCTTTCAAGCTATAAGACCATAATTGATGAATCTCCAATAAATGAACTCTTTGCTGATGAAAATTTATTTTGTGCAGGTACTGTCTCTTACATTGGTTCTCCATGGTATGCTGACATAGCAAATTACCTAGCCACAAGTCAGATTCCTTCTCATTGGTCTAAACTTGACAAACAAAAATTCTTGCGCAATGTGCGCACCTTTTTTTGGGATGACCCCTACCTATTTAAATATTGTCCTGACCAAATTATTAGGCGGTGCATCCCTGATCATGAAATTCCAAGGGTCATTAATTTTTGTCATGCATTAGCCTGTGGTGGGCATTTCTCTTCCAAGAAAACCATTGCCAAAATCTTGCAGTGTGGTTTTTATTGGCCTACCATGTTTAAAGATGTTCATGCCTTCTGTGTTGCATGTGACCGATGCCAACGACTAGGTAGCCTCACTAGGCGTAACATGATGCCCCTTAACCCCATCCTTGTTTTGGAAATATTTGATTGTTGGGGGATTGATTTCATGGGACCTTTTCCAAGTTCATTTGGTTACCAATTCATCCTTGTTGCTGTTGATTATGTGTCTAAATGGGTGGAGGCCATTGCATCTCGAACCAATGACCATCGAGTTGTGGTCAAATTCTTGAAAGAAAATATTTTCTCTCGTTTTGGCATGCCCCGGGCTATGATTAGTGATGGGGGAAAACATTTTTGTAACAAGCCCGTTGGGATTTTAATGAGAAAATATGGTGTAATTCACAAGGTCAGTACCCCCTATCACCCACAGACTAGTGGCCAAGCTGAGTTGGCAAATAGGGAGATCAAGAACATTTTAGAGAAAACAGTCAATCCAAACCGTAAAGATTGGTCCCTACGACTAGTTGATGCTTTGTGGGCATATCGCACTGCTTATAAGACCTCTTTAGGAATGTCTCCTTATAGGCTAGTTTATGGAAAGCCTTGTCATCTCCCTGTTGAGATTGAGCACCGTGCATATTGGGCCATTCGGCAATTCAATGACAATGAAAACGAGGTTGGCAAAAATAGAAAGCTTCAATTGGATGAATTAGAGGAGTTAAGAAATGATGCATTTGAAAATGCAAAAATTTCAAAACATAAGATGAAAACTTTGCATGATAAACATATTCTTAGAAAATCCTTTCATGTTGGTCAAAAGGTTCTCTTGTATAATTCACGATTACATCTCTTTCCTGGGAAGTTGAGGACAAAATGGACTGGTCCATTTGTGATTAAATCCATCTCTGAGCATGGTGCATTTGAGGTAGAAAATCCCAAGAATGGAAATATTTTCAAAGTAAATGGTCATCGATTGAAACCTTATCTTGAAAATGTTGTGGCTGAAGTTGAGACATTGGATCTTCAAGATCCAATACCATTGTAGTATTAGAAGTAATGAGTTTTTATTTTTATTTTTATTTTTCATTTTTATTATTTTTTCTTCTTTCTTCCATCTCTTATATTTTCGTGTTCATGCATTCGGGACAATGCATTATTTTAAGTTGGGGGGTGTGAGGTTCTTTATTTTCAAAAAAAAAAAAATCAAAAAAAATAAAAATAAAAAAATCAATGTTTTCTTTTAGTTGTGATATGCAGGTTAAAAAAAAAAAAATCAAGCAAGAAGTCAGCTCATGCCCAATTCAATCAGACATTCATCCTTGAAAACAGAAGGGGAGTAACAATTTTCTAATCTTTATACTTTTCTTCTCTTTCTCTTTTACATTGAGGATAATGTAAAACTTAATTTTAGATATTTCATTATGTTGAATGCTTGAGATAACCATGCTTGTTAAAAAAAAAAAAAAAAAAAAAAAAACTTGCATTCGTATGTGAATGAGACTTGTTTAGGATCATCATTACATTTTTGGATTCAATATTATGTTGAACATTGCATACTTTAATTTGGGATAGATAATATCTTATAAAGCAAGATATAGCATACTTTTTTTTAAGATTACTGAAATACATCTTTCCTTGTAAAAGTTGTGTGAGTTGTGTGATTATGCATGAAAGATGAGTATGATGCTTTACTTGTGATTATCCCTTTTGATCCAGTCCTAAACAAGGTTTAAGTAAATAGAGTAATAATTATTACACGAATAAATAAATAAATGTGTACAAAGTTCTATCTACTCCAATGTTTTGAGTTGCTCAGTAACTAGGGGTATTCATCACAAATGTTTATCTTTACGTCAAACGGCAGCTTAAAATATGAGTATGCAAAGCACTTTAAGTTTGTGACTTTGTGAGTAACCGGGTGCATTCATCACAAATGTTTGTATTCGCGTCAAAAGGGAAGTGACTACTTAAAGACAAAAAAATAAATCATATCTTCAAAAAAAAAAAAAAAAGAAAGAAAGAAAAAAGAAAGAAAAAAAATATATAGATATTTCTCTAGTTTGCTACCTTGTTTGTGTTGGTGAGAATGGAAGATTACAAGTTGAGTTTTCGTATGAATCAATTATGTTGGTTGCACGATAAATATGACTGAATTTGGAAATTTTGTATGGATGTTTGATTTAGAGAATGTGAGTATGTTTATTTTTCTTTATTTGCTATTGTGTACACTAAGTTAAAGATACCAATGTTTGCATGATAGGTCCTTCAAGTGTGATGAATCGAGCCTAATTATGGTTGTTATTATTATTATTTTTATTTTAAAGGTTTTATGTTTTGTTTTGCTTGAGGACTAGCAAAATCTAAGTTGGGGGGTGTGATTGTGCATCAAAAGTGTCATTAAGTCTCTTGTTTTACATATGTATTTATTGTTTTTATTTGGTTGTTTTTATAATAATTGATGTGTTTTTTTAGTAATGAAGTTTGTTTTAATGTTTCGATAGGTTTTTGGAGCTTAAATGAATTAATTCAGAAAATTCAACGTCGGAATTCAGAACAAAGAATTGAAGAGACATTTAGTTGAAGATTGAAGCAAATCTTGGTTCAAATAAGTGCTCCAAATTTGTCCCAAAAATCAATTCTATTCCAATTCTAGAAAAGAATATCATATGATTTATTTCAAGCCCAAACTTGCCTTATGTTGTGTGCAAACTTCAACCATTAAACACTCAAGGTTTCAATGTCAATCTTAGCCCAAATAATAAGTACATTTGTATACTTATTTGATGCTCAAATTCAGCCCAAAAATCAGCCCCAAATCAGCCCTAAATCAACCCCAAATCAACCTTCAAATCAACCCAAACACAATCCATGATCTTACATGTCCACACAACAAATAACAATTGATTTATTTTGGGTAATCCATTGATCCAAGAAGGCAAGCACATGGATGGAAAGCTGGAGGGGATATTTTAACATTATTTTGGGTCAAAAAGAAGAAGGAGACACCTCATAAATGAGGAAGAAAAACGTGCACCAAAGGAGTTGTAAAGCTGTCTTGATTTGATTTTTCAGAACACCTTTCGGTGTTTTGCCCATAACTTTTGACTCAGGTGTCCAAATGAGCTGTTCTTTAATGATCTGGAAAGGTGACAGAATTTTCTATAAATATGTCTCTAATAGACTTCTCCAAAAAAAGCTTCTAAGAGGGTCGAATTGCTGTCCAAAGTTAGAGTCAGATTTGTGTCCGAATTTTTTCTGAAATTGTATTGTGTTCTTCTTTATAGATTTCGGTTCTTTAGTTTGTAAAACTTATTTTTTCAGTTGGATTCAAGTTCTTTCATGTTTATTGAAGTGTTCTTATATATAATCATGGTTGGCTAAACTCTTTCTTGGATCCAAATCAAGGATAATGGTGATTGAGGTGAGTTCTTTAGGATATGAATGAATCTTAATGTTTATCTTCTTATTTTCTTCATGAATGATTTATTATTGTAAAGAAATTTTAGAAATCATTTAGGTAATGTTATAATCTTGAATTTTTATGCACAAACTTTAGTTTTGGTATAGAGATTGCTTGATTCAATGTCTTACTTAATATGAAAGTACTAGTTCATTCTTAAGCAATAATCAATCTTCATCTTTCTAATCTTCATTGTAATATCTTCCGCTCTAATATCACCATCGTTGAGATTAGGTTGAGTTATCTTATATATGTTGAAGAAATCACCAATACATCACCATTAAAATTGATTTGGACCAAGACTTACTTTTCTTGTCATTTAAAATCTATTTACATTTTTTTTTATCTTGAAAACAAATCTATCAATTATTTTCAACCAAGTTATTGTTAATTTAATTTCTCTTGAGTTTTTTTTTTTTTGTTACTTAGCTTAATTTCCAGATCTAGCTCTCTGTGGATATGACCTCGATCTTACCGAGTTAATTGCTACATCGCACACTCGTGCACTTGCGAGTTAAAACAAGCCGATCATAAAAAGCGGTCAAGCATTACACTATTAGTGTAACATTTTCACCTTGACATAATAAACTTAACTAAACATAATGAAAGAAAGAAAAATAAATAAACAAAATAAGAACATAAATAAGATAAAAGTTAACTAAGTAAATGAAAGGAAATGAAAGGCATAAACTTGATATTAATGAAAGCAAAGCATAAACATTACAAAAAATACAAAAAGAGAAAGCAAGAGCATGATCTTGATCTGAAAACCAAGATGCCTAAATGCATGGCAAATGCCTCCTTTTATAGGCCAAAATTGGAAACTATTGATTTGATAACTAATTGATGAGTGGGTGACTAACTCTTGACTTGGTGATAATCCTTATCTTTTCTTGTCTACCCAAAACGTCATTGATAACGTCAAAATTGGAGCCACTTGAAAACATGAAAGTTGTAGGAAATTGTCTCAGCTTTCTTGTGTAAAAACATCAGGTCATTTGGACTTCTAGAACTCTAGATATGGGCCAAACACTGAATAGTGCTCGGGCTGGAAGACAGATTCAGACTTCTTTATTGTTGCTATAATTTGGACTTGAAAATGGCCTTTTTAAGTCTTGTACTTCATATGAAAGTTGTAGGTCTATATCTTACCTTTTCATCCATATAAAGTAGACCTAAATCTGAGATCTTCAGCTCCAGATATGATCCAATTACCAAATAGTGTTCCGGTTTAGATTGCACCGACATCTCTTTTCTAAGTGTGGCCATCTCTTTGTCCTTTCAATTCCAGTTCTTAAATTCATCAATCAATCCTTTTATTTATGTGATAAGCCTGCATTTAAAATGAATATTTACCATAAATTAAAGGTATCTTATATTATTAGATATATTATTATAAAATATATTTTAGTTAAGAAGTTATTGATACTTCAAGTGCAAAATGATGACATAAAACCTTAATAAAAAATGCACTTTTAAGTACTAATCATTCATAATTAAGACAAAACTAACTAGTTTTATACAATTAAGCCCCTTTGAGATCCCCTAAGTCTAGCTTCTCTGACAGAGTACCCTTTGTTTTCCATTTTGTTTTATTTAATCCCCAATTAAGACTTAAATTTTGATTATCTTCAATTTAGTCCTTGGAAAAGTTTGGTACAACCCATATTATGTGTCTTTTGTAGAAGGATCCTTATTCTTGAATGTTTTTTAAATTTGGCTCCTCCTTTGCCTTTAAACTTCAAACATCTTGTAATTAAACCCCTGATTTTATCAATTTTATCTTTTAAAGTTTCAATTGTGTCTCTAATCTTTGTGAATTGACCTAAATTGAGCCTTCAAACTTGATTTTTCTTCAATTGAGTTCTTAATTAAATATATAAAATCCATTAGAAGTTTAATTAAGTCCTTAAACTTAATTAATTATTTCAATTTTGGTCAAGTTTGGATTTCAACCTTAATTTTCTTTCTTTGTTCATCTCATCCTGTCAAAATATCCCAATCTGGCTATTCTTCTGGCATTTTGTTTTATTGTAGCTTAAAGGTCTATCTCCTCGTCTCCCAAGAATATTTTTAGATTTTTTATTTTTTATTTTTTGAATTTTAAAAAATAAAATACATATATATTATTATTAAAAACTTTTAAAGGTCCAAAATTAGGTTATGACACTCGATACAAAAGGAAAGGTAGGTGATCTTTTGTTAATGTATATATCTTATAGCCAATTAGGTGGTTATCATGGCATTGATTTTATTCATATTTATTGTTATTTATAATAGAATTTTTCATAATCAATGAGTCTAAAGTAAGGATAATGTTCTTATGATAAAAAAAAATTTGCAAAGAAAATTATAAAGTGGTTATAGTTAAAAAGATTTCTATTACATCAAACCATTATTTCTAAATATTCATGGTCAATGTTCTAGTAAGACTAGTTATTAATTAGAGTTATTGAGGTTGTTACATTATTATTTTTTTAATGAAAGAAAGCAATTGTTCTCATCAATTGAGATACGAAGAGATATTCAAAACTAACACGTGGATGCTTGTTAAATGTTAAGTACACTAAATTGACTCATATTAGGATTCCATATGAAGATATTATTCATATTTATAGAATGACAATTATGTAGCTTATACTTGAGACCATCAAGTTATTTTATATCAAATGTGTTATGTTTTGATCATGAATATACGTTGATTTGATCAAAGTTAACAATTGGATAAATTTTAGATGTAACATAAACTATATGAAGGTATTAGAATAATCAAGAGATGATTCACCACTCTAGTTGAATTAAGAAAAATAGTCCATGTGTTCTCGAATAATATTAATTGAGAAATTCTTTCGTAATATGGAATGAGATTTGAAAATAATCTCAAATTTTATTGAAAGAATCAACAAATATGTTTTTAGAACAAAAATGATTTGATATCGTAGGCACACTCTACATTCAAATATCTAGATCAAAATATTCTTGATAAAGGAATAGTAGTTACACTAAGAAATTGGACACTAAAAGATTACGCCAAATAACATTTAATTTTTCTAATATTTGAACGATCATGACATATTGTTGAAGTTGCATTTGATTTTTGAATATAAATCAATCAATTTAATTTAGTTAATTTTGTTTTATTTAGGATTATAATTTATATTTGGATTAACATATTAAGAACCTAATAGTTCACACACATTAATAATTATTGGTAAGAAATTAAATTGGAATTACTAATTAAGTATCGAGGACTTGAATATAATTAATACATAGTATTATAATCTAGATTTAGAAAAATCAAGAAGAGAGTTAAATGCATAAATTTCTAACTATCTTGAAATAAAACAAATAATATTTTTCATATAGATAAATTGATATTTCATTATTAATATAATTATTAGATTTAATTTGTGAGAATGATACCTGTCTCTCTTTTTTCTTTTTCCTTTTTTCATTGACAAGCAGCATGATGAATAAAGAATCAACCATAGATTTTCATTAAATATTGATCAACATGTTATAAATTGCTAAACAAAGCTCCCTCTCCAAAATTGGTAGCTTTGGGTCTGTATAATTACTTCACATAGCGCAACTAAGCTTATTATGTTTCCATTAATACATTATTTATTTTGAATTGAAGTAATGCAAAGCAAGTTTGGAATAAATTGGATGCAGGCCCAGGATAACCTAGCCCTACGATTCCTTAATAGAGAAGAGAGGGTACAACACTATACGAGTGCAATAATAACAGTTAGAAGGACATATCATGGACACAAATGCTTTAAAACTAGGTAAAGAAGATACCTAACCTCCCCCACCAATTAGAGCTAAGAACCCTCCCATCTTAAAATTCTTTACCTTGCTGCTAATCTCGAAGTCTTTTCTCTACTTCATTAGGAATTCATCTTCCTTCATAACCATAAGAATTGCCACAAAACACCAAAAACCGAATGTTGTCACTCCTAGAGTGCCAATTGTTATTTGCCACCAATTATGGTCCAGAAATTAATATATCAGCCCCCTCCCCGAACCCATTTTCTATGGTGGTGCGCTGCCATCTTATGTGCCCTCCTTACAACTGCAGTAATCATAGCCGGCATCATCGTCTTTGTTGGCTACTTGGTAATCCACCCAAGAGTTCCGGTCATCAGCGTTGTCGACGCTCATCTCCTTCATTTCAGCTATGACGGAGCAGGGATACTTGTGACGCAAATAAACATCGTGGTAAGGTCCCAGAATGACAACATGAAGGCTCATGCTAGCTTCTCAAATTTCAATCTTGAACTATTCTATGATGGCATTAGAATAGCAGTGCTGTCAACTGCGGCCCCCTATGAAGTAAGAAAGAACAGTTCTGTTGATTTTAATTATGAATACACCTCGGATCCTATACCATTGAATCCCGAGCAAATGGATGATGTTGATGCATACCTAAAAGAGGATGAGGTACGCTTCGATTTGAAAGGAGGTGTAAGAGCTCGCTGGAAAGTCGGGGTTCTTGGATCAGTTAGGTTCTTGTGTCACTTGAATTGTCAGCTACATTTTCATCCATCAAATGGAAGCTACATATCCAGACGGTGCACCTCCAAGGCTAAATGATTTCTTTCTTTCTTCCTCTTTTGAATTTGGATGCCTGTCCTTAGTTTTCTTTGTTCTTGATTTCTCATGTGCATGTTCGCTTCTTTTTCTTATTCCCTTCCTCTAGGAAAAGTGCAGGTTCAGTGCAATAATAATAAGCTCAAAAAACATAAACCGCTCT